TCAGAAGTGAAGATAGTCCTGGGGACCGTGCCCTTAGACCTTGCAGTTTGGCTACCTAGGGCACAGGCGTTCTCCTTTGTATTTTTGTGTGAATATTTATTACTCCTAACATGAGCATGAATGAGTTGTGATAGGCACAACCATTTGCCTATTTTATAGATTAGAAAAACTTAGGAACAGATAACTCTCTTGCCCAAGGTTACACAGTGAGTAAATGGTGAAACTAAGCATTTAATCCTTGCCAGGCTGCACCAGAGTTTGTGCATCTTGCTGATAAGGAAACAAGCTTATTATCTCAGGGATATAATTCCAGAATTCTGAAAAGAATTCCCAAGTCGGTAGGTCCAAGTTGGGTCCTGTCTCCTCCATTCTCTAACTGCAGTTCTGTACAATAATAATGGACCTTCAGAATGAAGACCCTGAGGCAAAACAAGACACCAACCCCTGAAAGAAAGATTCAGTGGTGTTTGATACTACACACTTTGTTTTCTAAGGTCATTAAGTGGACTAATTAATTTTGTAAAGAGTTCTAAAGAGAATGGGCTTTCTCATAAACTTTTCCGTTGTCCAAGTAACAAGACCTCCACATTCTCTAACCATCCCAGTTAATAGGAGGCTTGCTATAAAATGTCAGTGGCATGGAAAAAATGCTTTAAAAGAGGGAGCAGTCCCGCACCTCTCTCTACTAATTGCTGGTTGACAGTAATCCAAATCAAAATGGCATGTGCTTCAGAATTCAAAAATCAGGATGGTAAAAATTTCAATAACCTAAAGAAATTATATGAGGGAAGAAGATCTATCCAACAAGCTCTGAATACTCTTCTTTTGCAGAATTCAAAACACTTCAATAGGAAAGGTTTAATTTTAACAGGCCACAAATGTCAAGACTTTGCAAGCATGTTGGTAATCTTGTAAACCAACTAGCTGAACGTGCATTCATTTTAATCAAATCATCACAAAAGCTTCCAGATAGATGGTACTATATAGATGCAAGCAAAAAGTGTGAATGACCCTCTGCAGTAGTCATGAAGCTGGGCATTTGCTCTTTGAATATGTGCGTTGATGTGTGAGCAATGCCCTGACACAGGTTGTGAGGTGCTATTCTTCCCTGGCCATCCCCCCAAAAAGCCTGGAGGTAAGTGATTCACTAGTGGGAGGAAAATTGGGCAATGCCAAGAGCACATAAAAACAAGAGAAATCCAAGAGAGTAAACCTCTGGTGCTGCTTTATTCTGCTAACGTGAGCCTAGTGGCCGAAAGAATCTCTAAGACGTTTTAGTTTGGGCTCTCCTGTGGAATTCCTTACGTGGCTTATATTTCACCTAAAAAAACAGAAAAAAAAAACAAAAAAAAACACCCCCACAACTTCAAACATTGTGTTTTGAGATAATGCTTTGCTCTGATCTGTACTATCCTCATTTTCCAGTTTTTTTCAATGATTAAAAAAAATTCGTTCCAGAACATAATTAGGCATAGTCCTAAAACCTTATGTAGGATAAAGAAGAAACCACCCCCCCACCACCACAAAAAGAAAGAAAGAAAGAAAACACAACCACCAAAGGAAAATAGGAAATGGTGTATACAGGTTTCCTCATCTATATAATAAGAATAATAAAAGTGTCAATCTCATTGGGCTGTTATGAGGATTAAATTAATTAATATCTTTCAAGTGCTCAGAACAGTGCCAGGCACGTAGTAAGCTATATAACGTCATTTAATAAAAAATTTTAAACACAAGAAACTTTGCAGGCGCAAGTGGAATAAAGTGAGTGACCATCAGAAAAGCTGCCTTTGTCTTTCTTATAAGTAATTAGGTGCCATGAGGCAGTTCTGTAGGCAGAGAGAATTGAGGTACAGTGAGAGAAATGTGTTTCCAGCAAGTCTTAGCTAAGTGTGTTATCCCTGGGTTTATTTTCATTATATGAGTTTTTGATTCCTGCATACTTTGAAGTTCGCCTCAAGGGAAAAAGTTGAATTGGGACTCTTTGTGACTAGAATCTTTGGCCTGGAAGGTTGGCGCCTTCAACTGTTTCTCATGCCAAGCCTGTGAGATTCTGTTCCCGTTCCAAAAGCTGACAGGAGCTTCCTTGCAAATTTTTCTGAAAGAAATGAATGAGACTCAACTCCACCAGATTTCTGCCTTTATGGACCCTTAACTAGCCTAATTAGCTTGTGAATTAGCAGTGCGAAGGGCAGAATGCACAGTGCAGCCGGCCCAGCTCTGGGGGTGGAGACTCAGGAGGCCCCCCAGATCACGAAGCAGGAACCCTCCCGCAGCTGGTCAGGGACACTCAAGACAGGCTGCAGTGAAAAGACCGAAGAAAAACTGCTGCCATCTTTTGGCTGATTCCACAGGAATGTGGATTTTGAACTTTGAGCCATGTGAAATTATATTTATACCCAAAAAGGCTTTGTAATGCCGAACCTAGTGAGCATAAGATATTACATCATTTACACTTTGGGACATAAAAAAAGAAAGAAAATGTTAAGGTCGTTTTCAGGAGTTCTTTTCCAGCTCCAAAGGGAGAGGAAAGAAGACTGAAAATGGAAAATGGCATTAAGCCGTGGCAGGAGGGACCCAGGTCTAACACAAAGAACTTTCAGGCCTTCAGTTGAATAGTTGTATTCAACCCTATCAGACCCACCCACTTTGTATAACAAATATTTTTTAACATTCCTTTTACCAAACTAAAGCTCCTAGACAATATAACATGCCTACAGGCATTCAAAGCTTAACATCGTTGGTGGGAATGTAAATTGGTGCAGCCACTATGGAGAACAGTATGGAGGTTCCTCAAAAAATTAAAAATTGAGGGCTTCCCTGGTGACGCAGTGGTTGGGAGTCCGCCTGCCGATGCAGAGGACGCGGGTTCGTGCCCCGGTCCGGGAGGATCCCGCGTGCCGCGGAGCGGCTGGGCCCGTGGGCCATAGCCCCTGGGACTGCGCGTCTCCGCGACGGGAGAGGCCACAACAGTGAGAGGCCCGCATACCGCAAAAAAAAAAAAAAAAATTAAAAGTTGAACTACCATGTGTTCCCGCATTTCTACTTCTAGGTACTTATCTGAAGGAAACAGAAACAATATCTTGAAAAGATACATGCATCATTATCATGTTCATTGCAGCATTATTTACAATAGCTAAGATAAGTGTCCATTGATGGATGAATGGATAAAGAAGATGTGGTATATTGGAATGGAATACTAGTCAGCCATAAAAAGAATGAAATCTTGCCATTTGTGACAGCGTGGATGGACTTGGAGGGTATTATGCTAAGTGAAATAAGTCAGACAGAGAAAGACAGATACCATATGATCTCACTTATATGTGGAATCTAAAAAACAAGCAACAACAAGAAGAAAAACCAAGGTCATAGATACAGAGAACAGAACAGATTGGTGGTTGCAGTGTGTGTGTGTGTGTGTGTGTGTATGGGCCAAGGGGTCTAAATGTACAGTCTTCCAGCCAGCTATTAAAAAAGTAAATCATGGGAATATTGTGTACAGTGACTATAGTTAATTATAGTATATTGCATATTTGAAAGTTTCTAAGAGGGTAGATCTTAAAAGTCCTCATCACAAGGAAAAAAAAAAAAAACATGTCCGTGACTGTGTATATGGTGAAGGACATTAACTAGACTTATTGTGGTGACCATGTCGCAATGAATACAAATATAGAATTGTTATGTTGTGCACCTGAAACTAATACTGTATGTCAATTATACCTCAGTTTTAAAAAACCTCAATAGACTACTCTAACCATAAAATAAAGAATTTAAATCAAAGCAATTTATAATAAACTATGTATTTCAGTATGTAAATGTTTGGGAGTGACTTCACAAGAAGACAGGTAGATGCATAAAATAAGTTCAGGTCTAAGAAACGTAAGACATATTCAGTGAGTTAACATATTTCCTTTACATTTGAGACTTTAAAATGGGAGATAAATATGTTTAAATGGGAGCATGGAACCACAGTGAGGCAACAGCTGCATTTGCATTGGAGACTCAGACACTATAAATGGCGTTGCTGTTGGCCATGTGATTTCCTGAAATGGCGCACAATGCTTGTTAAAGTTTCAAGCTAAGGACAGTGTTTAAAACTGTGCAAAAAGTATTCAGAATACTCATTGTGCATATGTTAAAACAGGTTCTAGGCTTAGAACTTATAAACAGGATTTTTTTTTTTAATCTACATGAATGTCCAGGCGGACATGTGCACATCGTGAGAGATGCGGGACGATGCTATGTTGTGCGGGACTGTCACACATTGCAGGATGTCTGTCATCCCTGGTTCCTGCCCAGGAAATGCCAGTCATCCCTCTGGACCGCCCCCCCCCCCCACTCTGGTCATTGTGACAACTAATAATGACTCCATACCCTCTGAGGGCAGAGTACAGCCAACACTGAGAAATACCACGCTAGGGCCTCGGTCACCGCCCCTGTGAAGTCAGGGCGGGAGTCTGGGTGTGAGGTCAGGCCCCAAGGGATGGAGTCTGTGTTCTTCTTTGGGGTTAGGATGGAATGGCAGGCTTGAGATCACAGATAAACTTCCTTCTCTATGTTTCTCCACTCTAACTTTTAAATTTTAATTTACTTTATTGTTTTTAATCAAATGTTTTAGAAGTCAAACTGTCGCTTTTTTTAAAATAATAGATTTTTTTATTGAAGTATAATTTACAATGTTGTGTTAGTTTCAGGTGTATAGCGGAGTGATTCAGCTCTACATATATATGTATATATTTTTATATATATGTATATATATATAAACATATACATATTCTTTTTCAGATTCTTTTCCGTTATAAGTTATTACAAGATAGTGAGTAGAGTTCCCTGTGCTCTACAGCAGGTCCTTGTTGTTTATCTATTTTATATACAGTAGTGTGTATGTTAAGTCCAGACTCCTAATTTATCCCTCCCCATCCCCCCAACCCCCTAACACCGATGTCCCCTTTGGTAAACACAAGTTTGTTTTCTACATCTATGAGTCTATTTCTGTTTTGTAAATAAGTCCATTTGTATCATTTTTTTAGATTCCATATAAAAGTGATATCATATATTTGTCTTTCTCTGTCTGAAAAGACGTGTAATCTTAACAGTTCCCTGCTACACATTACCCAAAGCCCTCTCCCCAAAGGCATATAGTCTCAGGTATTTCCTCTCATATTTGCTTCCATAATTCTAAATAATGTGCTTTTCTCCCCCTGCAGTTTGATTTTTTAAATCATGATCATCTTAATTACATACGGTATATAATAATATACATTGTAAATTATTAAAATCATTTGTAACCATAACTATTATCTGTTGGCTCTCAAACAGGGAAAAGAAGCTTTCACACCATATGTACAGCAGGGGAATTCCCTAGTGGTCCAGTGGTTAAGACGCTGTGCTTCAAACGCAGGGGGTCTGGGTTCAATCCCTGGTCGGGGAACTAGGGTCCCATATGTGATTTTTGGGGCAGCCAAAAATCACACTTAAGCAATTTCCATATAGTGTTTTAGAATTTACAAGTGAGTTTGCACAGGCATGGGTTCATATGATCCTTGCAGAAGTTTTGAGAGGGATGTCATTAGGGTCATTCTCATTTAAAAGATAGGAAATTGGAACACAGGTAAGTGACATGCCCAAGATCACATGACTGTAAAATACCAGAGACAGGCCTAGACTCCAGAATGTTCGCTCTTATTAGGCTGCTGTTTTTAAATTTGCTTCGAGAGCTGAGGGGACTATTCTGCTTAGATCCCCTTCTGGCAAAAACTCCTTTAAGGCCCCATTCCCGCGGCGCGTTCTTCCTGAAACCTTTGCTAACCCTCCCAGGCAGGTCTTTTCTCTGAGCTTCCCCGGGAGTTTGTTGGTGCTTCCATCTTGGCACTCAACACAGTGACCCATTAGTTGTCCTTTTCACACTGCCCTAGGCAGCTTCTCCCTCTTCTTTCTGTCCCCAGACCCCAGCAGGTCATCAGGTGGAAGGTGTGGCATCTCTGTACCGGCACCTGTGCTAAGCGGCCGGGTACACAGACGACCAGGACAGAACACATCCCCTGGCTTCCAAGCCTCGGGTTTGGTAAATTCGTGAATGTGTGATGCTACTCTCTGAAATGGACAGAGGAGCAACGATTTCAGGAGGATAGCTACACAGAGAGCAACGTCCTCTCAGATTCGGCTCCTTTGCACCTGAAAACTTAAAACATTAGCCAAGTCAGATTGCAAGAGACACACGTGCCAGACAAACTAGATTCACAAGATAATGAAGATCATGGGAGTGGAATTAACAAAAGAGGGGGCCAGTAAAGGTCTGTTCTTATAAGAACAAAGGCGGAAAATAATTTTTGGTGAATGGGAGTGATTTATAAGTAAGGCCACCTGGAGAAGTTTACATTAATCGAGGTGGGAAATGTTAAATGTATGGATGGTTATTTTATCTGGAAGAATATTGAGTAGCTTTAATAATGGAGAAAATATCGTTGGCTTTCTAGGTGGTCAAGGAGAAAGTCGGAGAGGAACAATTGAACGTGATAAGCTTAGTGGCAATATGGTAAGAAAGAAGGAGTGAGATTTAGCAATAAATTAGTAATGGACATGAAATTAAAGGGAGTTGATGAAGTTTTCAAGTGCTATTGAGAAATTATGAAGGAAAAGAAAGGAGACGGTTTTGTGGGGGGTGAGTGATTCTTTCACTATCCAGTTGGGTTAGAAGTAATGGTGATGAACACCCAGCAGAAATTTTACTACATAACATACAGGTTATATCCATACCAGACAGGTTATATCCATAAATGCCACTGAAAGGTATTTGAATTGCCAGTCTTGCATTTCCTTTCTTTTTCAGCCTAAGGAGGAAAACATCCTCATTAACTTTGATAAATAACCACAGCTATCAATAAATAACTGTGAAGAGGTAGCCTATTCCTGAAACCAAAGAATAGGTTCTTGGTTTTTTTTTTTTTTTTTTATTGGTACGCAGGCCCACAGGCTCAGCGGCCACGGCTCACGGACCCAGCTGCTCCACTGGGATCTTCCCGGACCGGGGCACGGGGCAGACTCTCAACCACTGCGCCATGAGGGAAGCCCTAGGTTCTTGGTTTTTATCACTTGCCACACACCCTTGTATGGGCCAAGACCGGTACCTCCTCCCAGCATCCCCTTCCCATGAAGAGACCAGATTTGATATCTATGGTTGGATTAAAAATTGAGGGAGAAATAAAACTGTCTTTAGTCACAGGCAACAGGATCCTCTATGTAGAAAATCCTAAGGGAAACAAACAAACACACACACAAAACTGTTAGAACTAAGGAGGAAAAATAAACTCAATAAGATCTTAGGATGCAAGATCAATATATAAAAATCAGTTGTAGTTCTATATACTAACAACGAACAATCCAAAATGTTCTAAAACTGGATTTTAGCAATGGTTACAAAACTTGGTAAGTCAGCCCCCCAAAATCATTGTACACTTAAAATGAGTATATTTTATGGTATGTAGATTACATCTCAATAGTTTTTTAAAAATTGGGGGATGTCAAAAGAGCAATAAAAGATCATTTTTTTCCATAAAAAGAGGATTTTACTCATCATCTACTCTTAATTTCTATGGTGTAATCTTTTGTGTCAGATACTCGAGCCTTGAGGGGTAGAGCCTGGGCTGGGATATTTCTAGGTCATACCCGAAGTTGAAGTTGAGAGATGCCAGCGTCATAAACCTCAGCACTGTCAGAAGGGGGCAGGACTTGTTGGCAGAGCACTGATGAGCCTGGTCACAATAAAAACAGACCAAGGACAGTTCTGAGGGGTTAGGATCCGTATTCCCTGAGGTTGGGTGGGCCGCATCCTAACAGGACAAGAGGCCCTGGTTGTTTGAAAGAAAACTATCTCCTTGACTTCCAAGACACAGTCAGCTGTTTGGACCAGAACAGGGGTCTTGGCTTTGATAACCAAAGTGACTAGTACACTCACAGCTCTCAACACTTGACTCTTCACAGCTCCCAACGTCTTTGCAGACCAAGAAGAAGACACAGTCCTGAGCATCTACAAATGATGGTTGCACAAAATGTCAATGGCACAATTCCCACCAATGGCCCTCTGCCTTAGGCTTTGCAGAGCCCTAGACACTTATAATTCAAATCACATTTGTAAACATAAAACATTCCAGGAAAAACTGTAAGAATATTTAATACTTTTATGAAGAATTTGTATTTCCTGTCTAGAAACATCATGAAAACCATCAGTGGAGTAAATTTAGATTCTGGGCTCAGAAGCAAAGTATACAGATTTAATCTCCCATGTTTTGGTGATTAAAATAGACAGGTGCTCAACAAAAAATTCTCTTTTTTTTTAATGCAACAATGCAATTCATGAACTGATTCTATGGCATTTAGGCCTATAGCCATTTTTATTTAAGCTTTGTTTTGTTCCCTTTTAATCTTTTGTAATTGAGAAACATTGAGAGACTTATGAAAGATACAGTAATCCTTTGTTATTTGTCGTATTTTAGAAGTACTATGTTAGCCGAATACTCTGGTTCAAGGAAAGTTGACTATTTGCAAAGAATAATAGCTATATACACGTTCTACACCTTGTCCTAATATTGTGGAAAGAAGTTTTAGTGAGGAAACTAACACACCTTGTCTGGGGTCACACAGAGCAGCTTATAGATTTGCAGTGCCAGCCACTGTGCTAAGCATTTTGTATACCTTCTGACCTTTAATCTTCATAATGAATCTAAGGAGAAGCTTGCTCTTGTTTTACAGATAAAGAAAAAGGAATTTAGGAATAATTCTTGCCCAAAGTTGTTCATAAAATTGGTGGAAAGAATCTCATCAGAGTCTACCTGGTTCTAAAATATATCCTTCCTCTCTTCTGTGTGGCATCCTGCAATTCTTCTTTGATGAGAAAGGATGCAAGGTTGTCAACATGTCAAATTCAGCAAGGTCATCAATGTGAAAATGAATGATGATAATGTCCAGAAAAAGCTAGCTGAATACACTCTATGAGAAAAGCATCATCCTCGTTATTATCGTCATTGATAACAAACATTAGCCATTCCCCCGAAAAGCCACCCAACTTTTATTAATGACATTGAGTTGTGAAAATTCCTCAAACATGGCAAGTCAATGACCACTTTGGATTCAAAATATGGGCTTAATAAGGAGAACAGCAAAAGGAAACAACTCTTGTAGCTTTGATGCAAAGCGTACATTAAAAAGTAATTTATTTAAAAAAAGAGGGGACTACTGAATGAACTTCAGGATGAAATAATGAATGTTAAATTAGGCTTTTTAAATCTCAGAGGAAGTCGCAGAGTAATAAAACAACATACCATACTGTTTTATTTCAAATTTTCTTCTTTTATATTAGCATTAGTTTTAGAATAGTCAGTAATTCATCTTCAGCGGGCAACCAAAATAAAATAAATTGATTTTAAAAGAGAGAGTTTTAATAAATTACCTCTGTTCCTGATGCATTTGTATCTCCATCAACCATGTCCTTACAGAGTCCAAGAGCTAAGGAGTAATTTGGGAGTGTGCCCTTTTAGAACCAGGTGAAACAGCAATTATCAATGTAATGGGGTAAGTACTGGGCCGAATAGCTTTTCCTGAATTAGTGTGTAAAAGGGAATGTGGGAAATTAACTGTGCATAACTAAGTTCCACTTTATTTGCTGCTGGGTGACATATTGCTAGAGCAGGCAGAGGGCCTGAAGAGACATTTTTCCAAGGAAGACACAGACGGCCAACCGGCACAGGAAAAGGTGCTCAACATCATTAATCATCTGGGAAATGCAAATCAAAACCACAGTGAGATATCACCTCACACCTGTCAGAATGGCTATTATCAAAAAGACGAGAAATAACAAGTGTTGGAGTGGCTGTGGAGAAAAGGGAACCCTTTTGCACTGTTGGTGGGAATGTAAGTTGGTACAGCCACTGTGGAAATATAAAGTATTTCCACATGTAGAGGTTCCTCAAAAATTAAAAATAAAACTACCATACAATCCAGCAATTTCACTTCTTGGTATTTACCCAAAGAAAACAAAACCACTAATTTGAGAAGATACATGCACCCCTATGTTCATTGCAGTATTATTTACAATAACCAAGCTATTGAAGCAACCTAAGTGTCCATGAATAGATGAATGGATAAAGAAGATGTGATACACACACACACACACACACACACACACACACACAACGGAATATTACTCAGCCATAAAAAGAATGAAATCTTTCCATTTGCAACAACATGGATGGATATATATGGTATTATGCTAAGTGAAATAAGTCAGACAGAGAAAGACAAACACCATATGACATGACTTACATGTCGAATCTAAACATAAACAAACAAGCAAAAGAAAATGAAAACAAGCTCATAGATACAGAGAACAAACTGGTGGTTGCCAGAGGGTGAGGGGCTGGGCAAAAGAGGTGAAGTGAATTAAGAGGTACAAACTTCCAGTTAGAAAATATATGTTATGAGATATTATACATCATAAGAAATATCATCAGTGGTACTGTAGTAAGTTTGTATGGGAACACATGGTTACTAGACTTATGGTGATCATTTTGTAATATATTTAAATGTTGAATCACTATATTGTACACTTTAAGCTAAGATAATATTGTAGGTCAACTATATTTCAATTTTAAAAAAGGATTAAAAATTTCCAACAAGGTAAATCAGGGAAGAGCGAGTCCCCTAGTAAAGTAGTGGATTCTTTCCACCTTTACAATATGAAATAAAATCCACTTAAACATGTATATCCAGAAAAGCTCTTGAATTTTACTTATTCAGAATCTCTATTGATTTGGGTACTGTTAGATGTTATTGAGATGATGTTTCAGCCTGCAGAACAAGGAATATCTAGGGATCCAACCTCAGATGAAGCCCCATTAATGACTAAATCCAAATGCAAATCTCAGAATTTACTACTAAAAGGTGATAAGAACCTCTTCCAGAGACGATCAGAATCAGACCTCCAGAGAGCAATAGAAAATAACTTTCATTCACTTAGCCAAGAGCTGGTGTGGCAGAGACATTGCCGAGTCTTTACCAAGCCCATTTTACTTTCTTCCCTCTTTCTTTCTTCCTTTCTTCCCTCTTGGGCCCCTTTATAGTTAGGCTGGGGCCATACAAGAGCTGGCCAATGGAAATTAAGAGGTAGTAATGTACAGGCCTGGCCACACCTTCTGCAATGACCAGGATATGTGCTGACAATGGTGGTGTCACAAGATAAAAGGAGCCTGAGCTCCTCCTGAATAATTACCAACCTCGTTAGACTGGGTGATGGGAGCAAGCAATACATTTGTATCAGATTAAACCACTGAGGCATGGTACTGTTTGTTAGAGCAGTTAGACTGACTAATACAGCAAGCTGAAACCTGCTAAAGATCTTCTTAACAAAGGCAAAGCCAGATCAAGGACACCTAGCCTGTGGACAGAAGCAGGCCAAATTGGATTTGTAGGGGAGTAGGAAAAAGGGCATTACTCTTCGAATAGCTAAGTTTCATGACATTTTACCTTCCTTCTACTCATCAACATCAGACTCTTCTTTTCAAAAATTCCTTCAAGAGTTGCCGTTCCCTTTGCTTTCTTCTGCTTCTCAGGCCAGGGCAGTGAAGCTGGACACAGTACTGGAGAAGGGGAAAAAAGGAGCTAAAAAGGAGTCAGAGAAAAGGGATTCTACCTGAAATTGCTGGACCTTTAAACTCCTTTGATAGTTCCATCCCTGGAAAAGTAGCCCCTTCCATGTGCTGAAATCGGATCACTGGAATCAGCCCTCCTCCGACTGCCTGGGGTGGAAGCAAGCAGTGTGGAAGGGCAGCAGGGAAAGAGAGGATTCATGTTCACTGTTCTGGGGACCACTGACCATCACTGGGACAGACTGCACTGGTGAGGATTCTCTTCTGTGCACGAAAAAATATGAATAGGCTGAACCAGATTTCACCTCCCTAAGAGAAAAACTCCTAAGCCATTTAAAGCACCATTTATATACAATTGCAAATATGTTTATTGTAGATCACTTTTAGCTGTTCATTAAACCAAATCCCCTGGGGACATTTTATGCCAATGCTTTGGAAATTAGACCTTGTTACTTTATGTAATTGAAAACAATAAAACTAAGTGCCTGTTATACTCTTCTGTAATTTGAAACAGGGACTCCCAACCTCATGTCCTGTCTCCAGGCCCCTTGATGGCCTCAGAGATAATGATGGGAATCTGTGCATTATTTTCATTATATTCAAAGACCTTACAGAAATGGGAAATTTAACTTTAAGCTGTATGAGCTGTCTGAATTGTCAAGTTTCAGTCTCTTGACTGAGACTACATCAGCTTAGTTCAATAATTGATTATCTCAGAGGATGATTAATAATTATCTCATGCTATTTAGAAACTCTGAATAACAGTCATTTAATGTCTTTGATTAATATAAATGGGTTAATCACCCAATAAAACTTTCATAAGGAACAACTTTTAAGAAATAAGTTCCAAAAAAAAAAAAGAAAGAAAGAAGTTCCATGTAGGAAGAATTATTATCAGTTTAAGAATCTAGCCCCAAAAGGGCTATAATCCAAATGTCCATGAATAATATATAAAATATGGTATAGATATACAATGGAATATTATTCAGCCATAAAAGGAATGAAATACTGATATATACTACAACATGAATGAACGTCAAACAAACATTATGCTTAGTGAAAGAAGCCAGTCACAAAAGACCATATAGCATATGATTCAGTTTATCTGAAATGCGCATCAGGTACAAATCTTTCAAGACAGAAAGTATATTCGTGGTTACCAGGGGCTGGGATGGAGGAGAATGGGGAGTGTCTGTTAACAGATATGAGACTTCTTTTTGGAGTGATGAAAGATTACGGTGATTGTTGCACAACTTTGTATAGTATACATTAAAAGCACTTAAGTGTACACTTAAATGGGTGAATTTTATGGTATATAAGTTGTATCTCACTAAAGCCGTTAACATTTTTCAGAATCACAAATTGAACTTCATAATTTTCCATTTGACTTTACCCCACATTTGTCTGAATTAATGGACTCTTACAGCCTGAGAGTAAAGTTGGGTTCTGGAGAAAGAAAAACAAAAGCAAACAATAACTGTGTGTCTTGCCTTGGGAGAAAATGCTAGAACCTCAGCCCTGTCTCCCCACTTGCATTAGGTCTTCTCTTGCACCCTGTTCCTTACTCATGGCAGGAGGGTATGAGACAAGAGTGTGGTCCAGGAGAAGCTGTTTCTCCTAATACTCCGTCCCCATAAAGGACCCAGGGCTTCATACATCCCTTCCATACAGAGAATAAGGCCTGTGGCCTTCAACCACACTGAAGCAAATCCTCCTCCTTGACAATTTTCCCTTTTCTCTCTGCAGCCAGTTTCACCTGGCACTAGATCTGCAAATGTGACCCTTTTTCATTTTCCCCCTTTGAGGCATTTAACAAATTTCTACCAAAGTCATCAGGATACACAACTGCATTCTCCTAATTATGTCATCAGTCAATTGTGAAAATTTCAGAAAATATATAAAAGCATAAAGAAAATACAACCATTACCTAGTACTAAACTTTTATAACATTTCGGCATGTTTCTCTCTGAAGTTATACATATATAACTTTTATATATATAGATATGTATACATATCTATATATATATATCTATATAAAAATTTTTTTACCCAGTTGAGAGGACACTGTAAATTCATTTTTGTAGATTATAGAAATCTTATAACTAGCCGCCTTGTAGGCAGTAACTGCTAAAAAGCCTAGCATCAAACATCTTACAACATTCACGTTGTAGACAAAACTCACTTCTAGATTAATTTTATGCTTTTCTATTCAGATTTCTTCTGTCCTACTTTCCATGTTCTCTTATTTCTATATTTAATCTTGTTTTATTATATGCATTTCTATGAAACACTCTAAAGGCTTTCCAAAATAAATAGTTTTTCCAACATAACCATTTCAAGGGTACAGTTCACTAGTATTAAATATATTCACATTGTAATCTTGCAAAACTGAAATTCTAGACCCATTGAATAACAACACCCATTCCCCCCTTCCTCTACCCCCTGGTAATCACCATTCTACTTTGTTTCTATGAATTTGACTACTCTAGATGCCTCATGTAAGTAGAGTGATACAATATTTGTCTTTTTGTGACTGTCTTATTCTGTTTAGCATAATGTCCTCAAAGTTCATCCATGTTGTAGCACATTGCAGAGTTTACTTCCTTTTTAAAGCTGAATAGTGTTCATGACATGTATATGTCACATTTTGTTTGTCCATTCTTTTTTTTTTTTTTTTTTTTG